GTCACTAACTGTCACTATCTGAGAAATGCCAAGATGTGGGCATGGGAATGAATAACACCCTAGTTGGGCACAGGAGGACGAGGCCAGGGACCCCCTCACCTTGCACCTTGCTCATGCTGGGTTTGTGCTGGCATCGTGCCTGTTCTAAACCTGGGCAGATGGCCTGCGGGAGGAGAGTGCAGGGGAGGCCACCCTCCCCTCTGGGGCTGGGAGAGCACCCCTGCACCTCGGAAGGGAGCACAGAGAATCAAAATCCTGTGTTCCTAAATTCCATGGTGATGGTGGTGGCATAGACAGAAGTGGAAGTATGGAAGCCAACAGCCATTTGTACTTGCAAAAATGGAGTCATGTGCTTTGCTAATCTACGTAGTTTCCTAGTCCAAAGAGGGGATCCTCAACCACAGGTAATTAGAGAGGTGCTGTTACGTGTCCTTTGGGGGCTGGGGAATGTGCTCCAGAAAACACTCTCGAGAAGCAGGCAGGGGTGCACATGGATCTTTGCTGAGCAGCTGCCCATGAGTAATTCTTAAAAGTTGCCAAATGTTTGGAAAGCCAGCTTGGCGCTCATAGATTGACAAAATGAGTGGTTGAGAAAATGGTCTTTTTTCCAGCCTTAGCAATATTGATTTAAGGATCCCTCTCCTCCCCACCATTTGTAGGTGGCTTGCTGTGGCTTGGGCAGAATAAGAGTCTACCAAACTCCTCATCATTTAGGGAGGTTTCCCTCCCCCAGTGAGTTCAGTGGCTCCTTCCAGCCTTTCTTCCATGCATTAGAAAATACGGAAATTAGCTTTGCTGATGCCTAGAAGGTAAACAAGGAAACTGTGAGACTTAGCAGAGGATTAGATCAGTGAGAATCTGAAGCCCAGATGATTCAGAAGCGTTTTGCACTCTCCCTGATCCCTTGAATTACCTCCTGAAAGCAGAGTGACCTTGTTCTCTGACAAAGTGCTGAGGCAGCCCGTGGACCATTGCCGAGGTTTCATCCACTGCATTTAGTGAATGAGATGGGGTGTCTGTTGTTTTCTCGTGTGTGGTGTTTTTCCTGCTCTTTGGACAATCCATCTAAGTTAATCATCCTAGTCATCATACTTGAGTGTTGCCATGACTGAGAGTGAATGACACGTCTTGCTATTCCAAGTGCTCTGACCAATTGATCAGGACAACTCAGTGTCTTTTGGGGAGCGTGGGAACCCAAGAGAATGCAGCCAGGATAGAGGAGCTTCGCTCTGGGGTCAGATCACTCCTGGGAAGATAGCTTCAAGGCCAGAATCCAGAGTCCATGGTGTTTAATTGCATGATTTGGATTTTTGTTTGTGTGCCCTTGCTTTATAAAATTTTAACCTGTCATAAAAAGTTCACACTTTAGATATACTATATGTGTATATACATATGTAAACATTTTAAAGTAAAATGTAAATGTGCAAAATTTTTTAAATGCTGCTTCCCATTTAAAAAAGATAGCTTGTAGATACACCGTCAGCAACATCCATTCCACCCACTCGAATGTTTATGATGCTTCAGGCCAAGGGTGCATGTAAGAGACATTTTATTTTTGTCTGAGTTTGGAAAGATTGCCTAGTTCTGTCCATCTCAGAACTTGACAAGTCAGAAATAATTATAATTTTTTCTTTAAATAGAACAGTTCCAATGGGTTGATTCTGAGTGCTGTAGTTTTAGTTTCTTCTTTGCAAGTTTGGATGCACAATAACGTCTCTGGGTCTTCCATATCTTGTGAGGATCGGGACCAAACCCTGCAGCCTGGCCACCACTTCCTGCTGGCCTGCAGCCCGCCTGACCTTGCCCGCCTCTCCTCCCACCCCAGGGTGGATTTCCCCTGTTCCATGTCCTCACACCGCCTCTTTCCCAGGGTTGGTCGAGCTGGGTGTCCTTCCCATCTCTGCTCCCTGGAAGCAGAGTGGCTGCGCCTGTGTGGTCTGGGGACAGCCTGCCACACCTCCACGGTCAGGCTGCTCCAGGCCTCTGTGAGCCAAGCCACTCCTGCAGACCTGCTTCTCCCCACAGGAGGCATGTGGCCAGCTTGGGCTTTTCCAGATCTTTCTGGCACATAGACCACAGTGCAGCTCTTTCTAGAGTTAGAAGGGATTTTTTGGAATTCTCTTGTATCCATGTCACCCTGAACAGAATGTGCTTCGTGAGCCCTCCTGCTGGCAGGCAGTGCCCCAGACACCAGGAATGTAAAGAAAAGGAAGGCAGTCTCTGAAGTAATTACAGCTTCCCTGGGGGGGATGGAGACACAGAAAGAAGAAACCGAGGAAACAAAAGTCAACTACAGCATGGGCTGGCTTCCCCTGTGCACCCGCCAAGCATGGTCTCAGCAACGCTGAGCTAGCATCCCTGCTGTCCTGCTCCCTTGCTCTGAGAGACGCTGGTCAAGGAGCTCACCAAGCCTGTCTTCTCATCCTTAAAATAGGACTCCTCTGGCCCCTAGGATTGGCTGTGGGCTGTGGGAAAGATACTGTAAGTGGCCACCGAGGCACTTGACAGGCCCAATACATCTAGTAGCTTCTCTCCTTCCTTTTTCTGGGGGACGATGCCATTGCAGATAAGACCAGGAACCTCTCCAGTTGTGTCACTGTGCTGTGCAATCTCCTCGGTGACAAACCCCCTCCTGAGAGGAATGGATCGTCCCTGGGAACCAACCTCCCTCATCCCCATTTTGGTAATGTGCTTATTTCACCTTTTTGAAGGTTTTGCTCAGTATTGCAGTACCCATCTCCATCAGGGACTTTATCACGCGATAAAGGTAGACTTTAGAGGATCTTCTGGTTGCTCTAATTCTGTCCTTAGAGAAACTGATAGTTGTAGTTTCATGCTAACATGTGTGAGCTCCAAACCAATACAATATGTGGTCTATTTGTAGAGCCCGCTGTTCCATGCATTCTTGCTTTGTTTAAAAAAAATGAGTTCAAAGTTTAATTCAAAATTATTATCTGTGTTTGATTAGGGTTTGGTCAGTTATGCTTATTCATGTATTTAACCAGCCGTTGACAGAGTGCCCACCGGCTTCTACTCCCGACTGGCTTTTTTCCTGGTGGTTTTTAGTTTGGTTTGACTCAAGCCTGCAGCCCTGCTTCTGCATAGGATGTGCTTCTGCATATCAGTGGGTTTTATTTTATGTTAAAAAGACTCAACATTACATTGGAAGGTAGCTTTGAGCGTTTCTATTAATCCTTCTGAAATATTGGAGGTGCCTTCTACTCCTGGCTTCTCCCCATGCTTGGTCCCAGGCAAACACCACAAGTCATTCTTTCCAGCATTTTCCCAAGTTCTTCTGGGATTGGAAGGCGTGGACTCTTGTAATAAGTTATTCCTACAAAAAAAGTAGTTCTCCATACCTCTGATGATCACCTCTTGCCCAACACTCAATGTCCCCCTCAATTTCCTGCCATTTGCTTTGAGTTATACTGGGCTCCTCTGCACTGTGGGACTCTGACTGTGTGTGTTACTCAGATTGATCCTCAGTTACTTTTTTGTAGATTCTTTGGAATTTTCTGTGTAGATAATCATATCTTATGAGAATAAAGTCTTATTTTTTCCTTTCCAATTTTTTTGTCTTTCATTTCTTTTTGTTGCCTTATTGCATTGAGTAGGACCTCCAGTACAGTGTTAAATATGAGTGGTGAGAGTGGACATCCTTGCCTTGTTCCTAGTTTTGGAGGGGGAAGCATTCAGTCTTCCACCATTAAGAATAATGTTAGCTGTAGATTTGCCTAAGTAGATTTAAAATTCTTAAATATTAGAAGAACTATTTCTCCTACTTTTTTGGCTTCAAACTTACTTCACAAGTGAGCTTTTTAATTAGTGCAACAACTTTTTATAATTGTGTGCTGTAGACTATTGTCTTTGGTTTAGAATATCTCGCCTGGCCACAACTAAGAAAAGAAGTAATCTATTTTGGTGCAAAATACCATGTACTGCATTAGCTATTTAACAATAGTGATGATCAGAACATGATTCCACCCTCTAGCAGTGCAGATGTGCGATGACAACTGAGCATGGTCTCCAGCCGCAGGTAGATGCAGGCTAACAGCTCTAGTGTGAGGCTGCCTTACTGGCCACTCACACGAGAACAAGACGGTCATGTCTGCTAACTAAGCAATGGGTAGACAAGAAGTGGCATATCCATATAATGGAGCAGTATTTGTCCATAAAAAGGAATGACATATTGGCAATGCTACAACATGGATGAACCTCAAAAACATTATACTAAGTGAAAGCAGCTAGTTGCAAAAGGTCACATATTGTAGGATCCCATTTATGTGAAATGTCCAGAACAGGCAAATTCATAGACAGAAAGTAGATTACTGGTTGCCAGGGGCCAAGGGGTGGGGAGAGGAGGGACTGCAGAGCTAATGAGAATGGGCATGGAGTTTCTTTTGGGATGATGAAAATGTTCTAAAATTAGATTATGGTGATGGTTGCAAAACTCTGTGATTCTGCTAAAAAACCATGGAATTGTACATTTTAAACAGGTGGACTTTGGTATGTAAATTGTATCTCAATAAAGCTGTTAAAGACAAAAAGAACGTGAGAACTAAATTGATGGGGAATGAGCAAGCTGGATAATGATTAAGCTGGAAAACTGGGGTCGCGGGTCACCCAAGCAGTTTTAAGAGGCTGTCTCTGGGAATGATGGGCTGAGGGGACCACTTCACGGGGAGGGGGCTTTGTAGGTACAGAAGGAGCAACTGACTGATGGAACACCTTGGGGGCTAGACACCAAGCACTGCAGATCTAGGTCAGCCCCACCATCAACTGACAGCCAGAGATTACAGGAGAGTTTGGGGCAGGACACATTTGAAAGCTGATGATTGCAACAAAAAGAAGTTATTGTCATCTAGATAAAAAGGCCTCAAGAAGACCCCGAACAATGAAGCCAAAATGGGCACATTCCATTAGTACTGTAGAGAAAGAAGTGGCAACTAACACCTGTTAAGCAGAAAACTAAATCTTTCTTTTTTTTCTTTCTTTTTCAGACTATAGCCTTCGTTTTCCCTTGGTGAGTACAAAACTTTTTAAAAATTATTTTTGCTGTGTAGTTACCTAGCTAGAAAAAAATGTGTGGGACTTAATTATTAGAGAAACACTGTCTTCTAGAGAAAGAAGGCCATGTGGTTAGCGTGTTATATTTGAATTTTATGCCTTAACTTGCTTGAACAGGCTCGTATCACACTTTTTGTTACATCATTTTTTCTTTCTTTTGCATCTAAAATCTGGCTAAGCTGTTCAGTATCCTGAAATGTATTGTTGAGAACACAATTTCCACATTCTTTCCTTTCTCCGACTTGTCCTTCCTTTGAAGGGGCCTTGCCGTAACTCAGTGGCACACACGCGACAACTGTTAGGGAGCACAGTGGCACATAGCTGCATTGATGCTAATTGCTTCTTAAATTGATCTGCTGTGGGGAAAACTGCTGAAAAGGAGCTTTTCTGGATTGCGCTTTTGGTAAAAAAAAGTGTCGTCATCACATAATTTTTTGCCTTTGGAGGTCCAGGCAACATTCCATGGTCTTGATGTTCTAGTGCTTAGAGAAAGAAACACCATCTCCTTTTTGTGTTCTACTTAATCAACTTAATGGTGTTAAGTTCCCTAAAGAAGTTGAGAGAAGGAAATCTAAGAGCTTTTGGGGTGGCTGCAGCATGTGGGTAGGTAGCGCATGGTCTGCTGTGGTGTCCATGCTTACCTCTAGTGCGTGTTCTAGGAAGTGGGCATCGAGGAAGCTGTATTTCTTAAATGCATTACCTTGTTTGAAATACTTTGACTCTGCTATGAATTATTTTAAAGTCAGTGGGTCAGTTATTTTGCCCTGGCTGGCCCACTCTTTTAGGGGGTGTTCCCTTTGTGGCACTATTGCATCTGGGCATAAATGCTTATGGTTGTTCCTGGTGTGATCAAATGCGTTTTGGGTGCATGGACTGTTTCTCCCTATCCGAGTAATGCCAAATATAGTCAACGATTGATTTATCAGGATGGAGAATAGAAAAGCTTCCATTTGCTACCTACTAAACCAATTTTGTTGTCCATGTTCTCCATCGCACCATCATTGGATATGGTCAACTCTGAATGGCATGATCTGCTTGGGCAAATGTCAATGGTGTGATCAAGGAGAAGGGTCATTATTAGAATAATATGAATGGGATAGAGACTTAATTACAGGAAGTCTGCAACTCCTTATTGCCTCAGAATCCTAAGTAAGAAGTATTGACTCGTTCATATCAGTCTGAATGGATATTAAACATGGTGTTCATCAAAGCAGTGGAGGCCATGTGGAAGGAGATAGTTGAGGGTCAAGCCCACAGGCTCATATCCTTCCAAAATACAAAGTGCAGATTATGATTTGTTAAAAGTGTCTGAGCTTTCCCTTCCTTGGCTCTCTGATCAGCACCGGCCCCTCCGCACTCAGTCTTGCCATCCACCCACTCTAGGATTTCCTGGCCTCTTGGCAAGTTGATCTGCTGCATGATATGTGTGGGTCGGCAGCTCTCTCAGCTGAGTGACCCTATGACATGTGGTTCCAGGGCTCCCCACCTCCCCAGCGTTGTCTCAAAACCAGCAACAGATTCAGAAGTTCGTACCCTGTCCAAAGGGAACTGAGCATTTGTCCAGGAGTCGACTTCTGACTTCCGTGTCCACCAGGGGCACTTGGTAGCCAAAGCAGCTTTAGGCAGCATCTTCCTCCACCTAGTTCCATCCTTTGCTTCCATTTCAACAGGAAAACAAAGTTCTCCTTTAGGAAGCTGTATGTTCTTAGACTAAAAGTGCTTCTGATTTCAGGAATCCTCTTCGGTGTGAGGAAATGATGTCCGAAGTGTGAACCTCCCCATGGTGGCTACCTTATCAGCTGCCTTTGTTGGGTGTCTGCCCCTTGGGCATCAGGGTAGAACATCAGATTGGTCTTTTAGCCCGTGGCATTTTCATTGCTAAACATTTGAGACTTGTCCCAGAACTTCAGGATTTCAACTAATAGAAACGAATTTATTTCTAATTTGTAAGATTGGAAACTTGCTTTTGAGTCATTTAGAACTAAATAAGTAGCTCACTCTGGACAGGGCAGGAGAGAGTAAACTTCTCCAGGTTGGAGACTGTCCCGAGCCACTGTCCACACACGGTGGGCTGGCTGCAGAGCAGGAGCCCAGTCAATATCTGCTGAGTGAACACAGGAACCTGAGAGCCTCCTTTCCTCTCATCTCTCAGTCACTTCCTAGGATTATTGTGACGTTTAAGAGAGATAACCCAAAGTAAGCATTTAATAAAATTGTCATTACTAACATCATCAAAATTATGGCAACTGTTTCCGACTTTTAAAGGAGGCATTTAACTGGGTAGTGACGTATATGCTGATACTATAATGGATATCAAAAGGAATTCCCTTTTCTAGCAATAATCCCTGATTTATCATTAAAAAAACCAACACTATATTAATATTTGACTTTAAAAAAAAAAGAGTCAAATTTTTCCCCTGTTTAACTGGATTAAGAGGAGTCTTTTTAGCACAGCCACGCAGTCTCATATTTTTCTTTTTTTAGTATTTACAAACAGACTTGGGAAGTAATACTATAGTTCATATCGATCATCCAACATGACCGAAGTTCCCTCAGCTGGAGAGTGCTTGCAACTCTGTGGCTCTCAGTTGCATAGTATTTAAATAATGCAATGGAATTTCAGAATTAAGAATTTATGGGAGGCACATAATTAAGGTTTAAATATTTTCTCCAGGCTCTTTGAGGTCTTATACTGTTATACCAAAGGGTATCCACCAGTAAGTAAAATTAAAAGATATTGTAACTTGACTATTTCACTTTGCTTCATGGAAATACCAAAGGAATAAAAGAAAACTAAATTAAGTGCTAATATTAAGTAACAGTGAATTTAATTTTAAAACTAACTTAGAATATTCATTCACTAGCTTTGTCATCTGTAACCATCTAGGCTTCCTCTTCTGTCAGTTTCAATATGTGTGGTTTTTCTCTTCCAAGTCATTTTTCTTCCTTGGTGTTGATTTGAATGGCCACCATCGCAGAAAAAAAAAACAATCTGAGAGTTTTTTAAAATAAACTGCAGGGGTCTCATCTATGTTCTGCTAGGGCAGGATGAACCACACTGAACATGCTTTCTGCCCACCTCAGCTGGAGTTACTTTCTGCTGGTGGAACAACGCCCTGTGCCCTGGGCTGGTTTTACGAATTTGCAGAACAAAATGAGAAGCCTGATGCATGATGTGCATAGCACAGAAGATTTGAAACTTTCTAAGATATTTGATTCCTGTTTCCTTCCTTTGCCCTGTTCTTGGGTTTTTATTAGCATCAATGGATTCCACTGGTTTCCTATCTCAGCAAAATGCATTTCTCCCAACAGTGACGAAGTTATTCTCCCATAGGCTGAAATTAGAAGCTGACAGTAAGTTGGAAGAATGCCTCTGGACCTGATGGTGACAAACAGATTAATCCCTCATTTATTTCCATTTTCATTTCCCCCCCAGGAAAGTTTCAACATTCTTCCAAGAAGTACCTCCTAAAAGAGGCTACTAGGTAATCGTTTGTCATAGAGCAAAGGCATGGATATTGAGCTGTCACAGTTTCCACATAGAGGAAATAGGAACACAGCTTTCCTATATAAACTCATTTCTCATCCTAGAGCTCCCAGCAGACCCAGTTCAGAGCTGGAATTCTTCTAGAAATCCTTTTTCAGCTGACAGGGAAACATGGATTCTCGCAGGCCGGGATGGCTCCCCAGCGGAATCCCGGTAGGAAAAGAGGTAAAGGGCAGATGAAACAGGAGCCTTTCTTGTTGTTCGGAATTATGTCGTGGTTGCTTGTCATGTAATTCCCAAGGTATTTAAAAATTAGGTTAAAGAATATTATCAGGAAGCATTCATTAAAAGAAACTTTGGCAAGCACCTCGGTTAACTTTGTCCAGCCCTGTGCAGGAAATCTGGGATTTATGCTTCAGGAAACCATTTTAATGCACCACAGCTCAGCCAAGTAGTGCATGGGGATGGGAGAGAGGAACCGTCTGCTTTGGGCCTGGTGGGTTGTCAGATTGCCAGGAATCCAAGTGGGGCTCACCTTTGAGGAAAACAACCCCCAGCTATTGTTGGGACCCTCCGATGGCTGGATGACACATCAAAATCTCACCCATTTTAAGTTGGACATTTCCTCTTTTTATAACCAAGCCCACCCTCTTAATTGTCCTTAACAACTGGACTTGTGAAGTGGCGTTTCAGTTAAAAATGACAGAGTGAGAGGTGGGAGGTACATGGGCAGCAGGACACTGTGCTGGTCTTCAAGGAGCTTGTGTTCAGGTTCCCGGGGCGGGGCCGACCTTCTGTGTGCAAGGCCTTCCTGTCCGTGTGGTTCGCCTTATGGAAACAGATGGTGTCATCAGCTGCAGATCCATGCCCACTGCCTGAGGAGGGGCGTCATTCACAATGGGGAGAGAAGACAAGAAATTTATAAAACCTTCTGCGTGTGTGACTTAGAGAGAGACTTCTCAGGTCCACTGGGCCACAGAATCAGGAGTGAGTTCTGGTGACAAGTAGAAGGAACATGGACTAATCCCCATTTGATATGGGAACTCACCCCCAACAGGAGTCCCGTCCACTGGGGGACGTCCCCATATGAATTGGGACATTGATCAACAGGAAATTTGATGCATTCTGTTCATAAATTGCCAATTTGAAATGACTTTAAAACTGCTTATTACAATGCAGAGTTTGGTATAAAGTATTTAAAATGTTGGAAAAGGAAAGATCCCTGTGGAATTGCTGAACAAAAATGCGTCACATAATGGATTCTCTGAGTAGCTTTTCTCCTTGTTTTGAATAGAAATGAGCACAAGCGAAAACAAAGCTTGGATTTGTGTTATTTTGTGATGGGGGCTGGTTGAATTCTAACAGCTTTTAAAAAATATGTTGATGGTATTTAACTCATTTCAAGCAACTCTATCAAGATTGATCTGCTATCAGAAATGGTGCAGATTTTGTGTTCAGGTGCTATATTT